ACAAAATATATATATATATATATATATATATATATAATAAAATAAATGATAAATGTAAATGAAATATTTATAAAATGGAAGTATTCATGTGCCACTATCCAAAGTTTAACATGAGGTGTACTTTGTCAACCGAATTTTGTCTGTGCTAATACTTAAATTATAATCTAATATAAGAATCTATGGATTGAAGAAATTGTGATTTGATTATAGATTGACATATCTAACAAATTTGATTTTTAAATATGTATTTAAAATAATTGTTAATTTATTGACGTACTAATATATAATTTATTTTAACCTTCTATTATGAACCAGAATTTATTGTGACAGAAGCCATTATATATTCGATTTGGAAGAGTATTGAGATATCTTAATTATTAATTTGAATAAAATTACTAGATAGGAATCTATGACTATATTAATAAATGAAATACCTGACTTGGTATTAATTTGACAACTTTGTTTGGTAGCTGCCTTGTGATGCTCACAACTTTTGCTTGAGATGAAAGGAAAATCTTCCAAATTTTTAAAAGAACACATTTGCAATGTCCAAAAAATAGTTCAATCTTATTTTCTTTTACACAAAATTTCTTTGATTAAATTAAAAATTTTGGGAAAAAAAATGTTTTACTAACTTATAGTTTATACACTATAAATTACTTTATGTCCTGTATATTTATAACATTTTTATAATTTTATCTCATTATTTTATAATACTTTTATTTTTCATATTATTTTATTAGAGAAATACAAACATATTCTCTAATATATTAATTCATTAGGGTCAATATAGTGTTAGAAGTTAAGATAAAATGCACAAGATCGTATATTTTAATCTTGATAACCTATTAATTCATTGAAAATTACAAAATTATATTGTCCTCAATCCTTATTTAATGAACTTGTATTTGGACAATAAATGTCCATAAAGATGGAACTCATATCCAAAGTATTCCAGTAAGGACTTCTTGATAAATAATCTGCAAGTATCTCTATAAACATGCAAGTATTTGTATAAATATCCATAAATCTTGAAATTAATATGTGTTGGTTCTTGTGAGTGAGTCTCTATGACTTAATTAACCTAAACTTTCATTTTTAGAAGAAAAAAAAAACTCACATTTATATTTTATATTTCTTAATTAAATTTTAATCAATAATAAATTACATTTATGAATTTTAAGTTTTTAATAATCAATAATAAAGAGTTAAACAGATCCAATGCTGTAGTCTTCTGATAACACTCTTCTTTCTCGAATTGTTTTTACATTATTTAACTGTTTTAATATCCTCACTCTTTTAAATTAATACAATATTTGATATTTGAAAATGGATAAAAAAATTAATATTAATAAAAATTCCAAAATTATAGTAATTATTAAAAATATTTTCTTAAAAAAAATAAAGAAATTATACAAATGTATCATTCTACAACCAGGAAAAAAGTTGTGAAATATTTTTAATTCAATAAATTAATTATTAGTTAACTTATGGGGTAGTTCTATAATATAGCTTAAAACCATAAAAAAAATTAATAAAACTTTAATTTTAATTTAAAGTTAAGAATAAACATCTAATAAAATTTAGCAGTATATTTGAGCTTAATTAAAAGAAATGAAATAAAATGAAAATCCATTGCAATGGCAGCTGTAAACATGAGATAAGTAATGAAAAGAGTCCTAGTAACTCATTTATGTTTTTTTCAGGATTCGCATTTGAGACACATATTGTCACCGTCCATGATTCATGAGGTGAGCCTGAGAGAGGATGTTGCAGAAACAATTCCTACATGGCCTTGGTTCGTTTTCTTAGCTGGAGGAATGGGGTGCTTGGCTTTC